GAAGTGGCTTAAGCTTCTCAGTGCTGTGCTTTAACCCGCTGCGCCACCAGAGAGGGCCCCCACTCCTGTTTTGATCTTGTCCTTTTCTCCATAGAATGTCTCTGGTTTATAGTTGTTAGTAGTAATTGTACTAAAGTGAGTAAGAAGACCAACTAACAACTATACACCAGGAATATTATTTCTATTTGATGGCAGAAGCACAGAAGAACCTTTTCAGAGGAAGGTGAACTTGGTTTGAGTCTAGAACGGTGTAGGAAAAGAGAATTAGTCAGGGTTTTCTGCCTCTAGCTTCTGTTGCAGTCATCCGCAGCCTTAAATGGAGGAGAAGCGTGGGAGCGTGGGCGGCCAAGGTAGGCGTCTGATTGTGGACACCTGGAGTGTGCGTGGGCAAGCAGCGTAAGTGGGCGCACCTGAGCCTGAGAACGTCAGGGCGTAAGGGCGGTGTCACTCAGAGACCGGCTGCAGCAGAACTCCTACCAGGAAGAGACCACGAGGACCATGAGAGAACGCCAGAGCCCAAAGAGGAAGAGTGAAGATTCGCGGGGAGCCTCCGGGGGCCTCCCTGCCTTGCAGCCTGTGGGCTTGCCCCACAACAGTTGGCGTAGAAAGCACCTTACAGGCTGAAAAAGCCACTGAGGGCTGCAGGACTCTCCGTAATCCGTCTGCCTGAATGGAAAGGGGAACTGCCCTGTGCTTGCTAGCAGGGGCTCCCACAGAAGGTAAGCAGGGGTTCACTTGGGATAAGATGGGGGCAAAGGGTGTTCCACTGGGAGGGTATGCTGTTTCAGTAGTCATGTCGCGGGAAGGAAAAGGACAATGACATCTAGGTAGGGGGTTGGGGTGCCGTATGAGCTGAAGCATAGAATGGCCTGCCTGTTTGGGAACTGTAAATTCGATAATCCCGAAACTCAGAGTACAATAGCGGAATTGTAGACCTGAGGTCTGGGTCTAGAATATCAAAGTACCTGGAACACCATGCTGAGGCTTTTGGTTTATTTCG